CACCCCATTGCGATCCCACAGACCCAACGCAGGTCTGCGAAAGATGGCTGGTATCGCCGAATCCAATTGACGCCCAATGCCAGCACCCCGATTCGTCCGGTATCAGGAAACATGCGGCAGTTGTCACCATTGTGGAGATTACGCGTGGGATGATATACATGGAGCTTGGTTGTAACAGATCCTTCGCGCAAGAGTCGACATGCGGAAGGCATCTAAGCTCGGTAAAGCTTATCTACAGATTCCCGAGGCTGGATCTATCAGCTCGTTGAGATCATAACATGTGAGCCGAGTGCGGACCTGTTGAATTGTCGCAAAATCCAGCTTTGAGACGATGTACCCTGTAAAACACTTCGTGTAGCTAGTAAAGTGATGAATGCTTGATGAGTTCCAAGGTTTTGTAAGAGATATGTCTATGCTACCTAGGTAGTCTGGCTTAGGGAACCACTCTGGAGTGGATGTTGAGAGAATAGTGTTGGTTTCGGTAGCTGGACAGAATGCGTCTGACTTCTAGGCGGCGCGATAAACCGCCCATCAAACAAAAATAGGGGCTTGCTACGAGGAAGGAGTCTACTGTGATGGGAAAGGTGAAGTTGTAGACACGTGACGCGCCTGCCAAACGCGCAGCCTGCTGACCACGCGCCCCCGCGTTTTCGCGACTGCATCGCGCTTGCGATGGCCTCGACCTCGCCAGTCTCGCCACCATGTCCATGCCTCCACCCACAACGAATACCGCCGAACACCATCTACCCGCCATATCGAACACACCGCACGCGCCGATGTTGCTCATACGATGCCGACCCATACGCCCTCCCCGCACCGCTTCCTAGCGCCCAATCCGCCTTCCACGCAGAAGATCAAGAAACCCCAATCTGGCCTGCGCAATGCCCTCGCTATACAAACACCGGCTTCTATCAAGAATGCGCAGCCGAAACCTGAGCTTCAGTTCAAAAAACTGACGCCTGCGAAGCGCTTTGTCTTTGCGTCGCCTCGGCAGACGCAAGAAGTCACCAAGGAGAAGCGCGATGAGCCGCAAGAAGATGCATTCGCGCATGCTACACCACTTCCGAAGCTGCGGAGGAAATATGAGAGAGTAGAAAGCATAGAAGAGCCATCGCAATCAAGCCAGTCAGAGGCGCAGGATGAACTACACGGCGAACATGTTATGCAATCCATCGAAGGCGGAGACACGCAGCTTGGTCGCTGGGACAGACAAGGAGATGACCAAGAAGACGATATGCTCTTCGAATCAGTCCAAACGAATAAGCGTCGTCGCATGTCCCCTGCAAGCTCGCCATCGCTCCAACGACCATCCGAGCCCTCCACACCAGCCCCCGTATCCAATGCGACTACGCACCGCTTCAAAGTCCCGCCGCCACGGACGCCTGCGCCATTCCCCAGCATCGCAGCGGTGACTTCCACACCAGCAACTGCACCGCAACGTCCCCATTTCATACTCCCCGCGCTCCCGACCTCGCCCCCGAAGCCTTCCCGACCGCTGCCTGAGATCTTCTCTCCTTCGCGAAAGAACGGCAAATACATACCTAACGGCCTTGCCTCGACCGTCACGACCTGGATGATCGAGACGGCAAATACAGGGTTCGCGGCACAGGATAGGAGTGGTGCAGCCACTGGTCGTGACAGGGAAGACGGCGTGAAGCTGCGGATACGGGTCTCGAGTCTCTCGAGAGGCGGGTGTCGAAGCCGTAGCGCAGAAGAAGTAAAGTGCTATGCAGGTGGCGTCGTCTTTGCACGCGGTGATACTGAGGCTGGCATGTATAACGCTTCGAGAACGGAGAGTGTGGGAGTGGGAGGAGGACATACCCCGATGAGAGTCTTGCTAGCCGGCCAAGGTGGTGCAAGAAGCTCGGGAGGTGTGCTGGTAAAGACTGGGAGTGTGGTCGGTATCCGCGCGCCTATGTGGGACGTGGACGTTGGAGGGGAGAAGTGGACTGTAGCTGTGGACTGGGTGCTACTTTGAAGTCAAGACGCATGCTTCCTTTACGATTATGACTGATGAACGATACCCACTTTCGCGGCGACATAGCGGATTCAAGGTCCACATAGAAGTAAATCTAATATCTCATACAGTATACATGCGAGATAATATCCTCATTAGGCTCGTTTTCGATTTCTCACAAGAGTGGATTGGAAACTTATCACTCATACAAAATAGAGACCCAGTTCGGCGAAACGAGTATTTTCTTGTCTCGCCAGCGACACTTCCAAAAGAACACTGATAGCACTGCCTCCTAGGCTGAGTAGTGGTGCGCCTTCTCATCTCGAGTAGCGTGAGTCATGAAAGCCCACCATGAGCGCGATGAGGAAAGAGCCAAGGCAGCGACGGCAGGAACGTCACGATTTCAAGCACTTCACGCACATCCTTCCCTCAAAACACTCTTGAGTGAATGTTCCCCGTGTTCATAGCCTTAGAGGTAGTTTGCTAGCTGCGGCCAAATGGTTGCCTTGAGCCCACGTTGTGCTTGGTCACACATCGTGTTAGAACCATGGTTTGCTAACCAACTTCAACGACTCACAACACTTGGAAAGCCATTTCTTTTACAGAACAGAAAATCTCAGTCATGATAGTCTTCTTGACTTTCTCTTGGATATCCAGTCTCTCTAGTCATATTTCACTCGCCTGCGATCAACAAAATCCCTCAGTCCTCCTTCAAAAGATTCTCCTTTCAAAAGACACCGCATCAAAGCCAAAGCCATGTCTACCATTACCGCCCCATGTTGGGCCTGCGCCTTCGCCGACGCGCAAGACCAAGCCGACTGTCTAGTCTGCTGTCCATCGTCTTCACCATCACCGGCTAGAACCCACCTGCCCACCCCAATCACGGCAAAACAACGATGGTCCATGCCCACCATCAGCGCCTCAACCCTAAAAAAGACATGGAAGAGCTGCGGCTCCGAACTCACACAAGAATGGCGCGAAACCCTCGACTGGATGAACGTGCTCAACCCAAAAAGACTCTACACACCACTGGAGGAAGCAAAGTCGTCTTATGAAAGGCAAACACTTTTCACAATAGTGCTGAGTAACAGCGACTATTTCGAAAGCACACCTACTATTACGCTTACATCCGCATCGCCGACTTCGCCGCCTACCATGAATCTTACTACTTGGCACACACTGGAGCAGAGGGTTTGGTCGAAGACGGATGTGCATGTTACGACGATAGCGCATAAATCTCATAAGAAGCACAAGGGGAAGAGGCGGGAGTGCGAAAAATGCAAGAGGGATCAAGAGGTTAATCGGGAATGGATGGCGGCTATGGGGATAGATGAGGAGGGAGTACGTGGGCGCGGTGGGTGTATGTCGATTGGGAAAATGGTGAGAGATTTCTTGATTGTTAGAGGGTAGCTGTGCTCAATTGAAGTGGGCACGTGATGAGTGTAGTAGATCAGAGAACATGGCGCTCGCAGCTAGACTCATTTCGGCCTCGAAATGACATTATGGAATTCATCATAGGCGACTTGTTGGTAACAGCTCAATCAAGAGAAATGAATACCCTACATCGGCTCCAAGTCCTCTGATCCCGTTCTTCTATCCCAGTGTACAAAGTAGTCCTTAGACCTGTTTAGCGCTTTCCTTAAATGAGTTGATAGGACGCTTCGAGCATCCGTCGAATGAGACTGCCTGCCAAGTAAATCCGAGAGAGAGCTTCAGATTCGTCCATTCATAGATGATCCTACTCACGTGACTCAGACTCATCCTCAGGCTAGATGAATCCAGAACTGCTTACATGAGCGCATCTGACGACATGCTCGCTTGCAGCGCGGTAATCAACTCATCTACGTTGATTGGGGCATTGAGCATTGAGCTGCGAACACGTACTGACAATAGATTCGCCCGCCATTCTGGGTAATCTTCCTTACCCTTCCATCGCCTCTCATCTTTTCGAAAAGCCTCGATAACCGCTGCATAATCAATTCCACCTATCGTCGACTGGATGCACGTCACCACAGCTTCCGGCTGCAGATTGGACATAGCGAGGAAGGTTAGTCGCAGCATCGCGATCTGGAGCTGCGACTAAAGTCGATGACACCGGAGGCCCCTCCATACCGCTATGCTATGCGACGGCTTCGTTGTACCAAGGGTTTTGGTGGTGGGGTCAGCAGGATGCTTCTTTGTGAATGTCCCACGTCGCCGCAGGTAGTGGCAGGTACGACCAAACCCGGGTCGGCCCTCATGAATCAGTCGCTTAGTGGCTGCTTTCCGGACCCGCGGTGCCACGCCACGTCACTCAACCCATCAACACCTCACTTTTTCCTCTTAGCCATGACGACCCTATGCGTGCCCCTGCATCGCGGCCCTCTTTGGGTATCGAGAAGGTTGCGAGAAGGGCCCTCCTTGCTAATTGACGCTTTGCCGCACTATACGCTCTCAAGCCTTCCGGTGCCGCAAAATTTCGCCGTTGACCAACGCTGCACCACGATCCGCGCTGGCGACACAACTGCAAGCTAAGTCATCATCGGACCAATAATCGAAAAGCACTCGCAGTGGAAAACCCCACCTTCTGGGCTCCCAACTCTATCAACCTGAGCGAACTGGGTTTCCCTACGTGGACCAATGATGCTTACAGCCGAGAATCGTCTTCTCAGCGTGAGCCTGCGGCAGCATGCGGGTATGCCAGTCTGAGGCTTACCGAACCATTGCGCCCACAATGCGAGGCATCTCCATACGATTTCGCGCATCATGTCTTGTGACAGTTGTCCTGCACCTCTCTTTCGTCTGATCTGAGCGCTCGTCCCAGCTTTGGCCGATTGAAGCCACGCACGTTGCACACCTCCACCCTCTGTGCTTTGCGTCTAGACTGACCCGTTTCTCATTCGTCTCTCCGCAATCAATGCTCGCACCCCACGTCTAATGTCGCCTCTGCATACCTACCGTTTGTTATCACCAGCAATGGAACAAAGAAAACATCTATAGCACGTAGCACAACTTATCGAATTTCGGACCTCGAAACACCGCGTCTGACTTTGTTTGATACACTATGCGCCAATTCGAGAATGTTTCGATATCGCAATGGGCGAACCCGTATGCGAGCGGCGGCACCAACACCGGGAAGAACTTCTATGCTACGGCGACTACACCGAAGCCCCAACAACCCGTCTATCGTCGAGTAGTCCCACCTACACCAGTATTCTCATATACGCAAGTAGTTGATGAGAAGAGCAGCAACGCCGAACAAGCAGGTATGCTTGGAATGTATCATGCGTAACATGTCCAATTGACCATTGTAGATCCAGAGAATGTTCCGGCTGCTTCAGCTGCTCCGGAGGAAACTTCAGCAGCAGAGGTCACTCCTGAAGAGGCCGCACCGCCGGCTACACCAGAAGCACCTCCAGCAGTAGAGCCATCAGCAGAAGTAGAAGCACCTGCGGCAACAACCCCAGCAGAACCGACACCAGAAGATCCATCAACACAAACAGCAGAGGCACCATCAAGTAGTGGGGACGGCGTCGTAGCGGCTGAGGTTGTAACGGAAGATGTCAAAGACGAGCCTCCAGGATCAAGCGATGCCGCGAATATTGAGGCACTGCCGCCTCCACCACCACCCCCAGCACCGGTAGATGCACCACCCGCCGAACCCGAAGCAGCAGCACCTCCAGCACCGCCAGCACCAGAAGTTCTGCCAGTACCTCCCAGTGAGCCTGCGCCCCCTACACCCCCTGCTCCACCAGCACCACCGGCGGATGCAACACCGGAGCCAGTAGTCGTGGAGAGTGAGAAAAGTGGTGAGTCCGAGCAGGCCGCTCAAGAGCCTCCGAAATCCCCAACCGAGAAGTTTGTTCATTTTGCCTCTGACACCAAAGACCCAGACGCCGGAAGCATAGGCAAAAAGAAGAAACAGCTGGGGTATGGTAAAGGCAAGCCCACCGCGTTCATCCGCCCCAGAAAGCCATCGACATCCGTTCCGCCTCCTTCGCCACCGAAAGAGGAGAAGAAGAAGGTCTTTGTTCCAATCGGCATTATCAAGAAGGAGCGAAGGGGTTCATTGCTCTCGGCATTGGCCAGTGAGAAGGTAATGACCAGCAAGTCAAGAGGGAAGAAATCTAGCAACGATGGCAGCGGTGACGACAGGTCGACAGTAATCACCGATGGAGATGCCCCCTCTTCAGACGTCTCTGAAAGCGTCATCATCGAGGAACCTACCGAAGACGCTTCAGGGTCGATCGTAAGCGAGACAGTACCGCCTCCGCCGCCACCGACCGATAATCCACCTGCGGTAGACGAGGCCGCTGTCAGCGAGGATGTAGTGGAGGCACAAGACGAGGCAGTTGCAGACAGTCCTCCGATCGAGGAGCCAGCTCCTGTCGCTCCCGAGCCAGCAGCTGAAGCCGAGCCATTACCGGCAGATGCGTCTGCGGAATCTGCTGAGCCACCACAATCCGACACACCCGCTCCTGTCGAAGAAGCTCCAGTTACTGATGCCATAGCAGAGGAGATTGCCCCCACCGATCCAGTCACCGAGGACACTCTTCCCCCTCCCGCCGAGCCGACCGCAGAAACAGCTTTAGAAGCCCCTGCCTCAGAAGCTCCAGTCGATGAACCACAGCCATCGAGCGAAACGGTACCAGAACAGGAACAAGCTACAACAGAGAGTGCGGATGCGGTTGAGCTTGAGGCGTCACCACCAGAGGATGCGAAACCAGCTGAGGCAGAAGCCTCCGTCGAGGAAACGGCAGTTCCCGTTGAAGAGCCTGCTGTCGCCGAAGAGGAAGCAGCCCCGCCAGCAGCTGAAGAGGAACCTCCAGTTGAGGAAACTGGTAGCTCAGAAGAGCCGCCGGCAACTGTGGAGGATTCTCCTGCTGTTGAAGAGCCAGTTCCCACCACTGATGAACCAGTCCCCGCTGCCGAAGAGACACCTGCTGCAGAAGAAACACCTGCTGCCGAAGAGGCACCTGCTGCCGAAGAGGCTCCTGTTGCCGAAGAGACTCCTGCTGCCGAAGAGACTCCTGCTGCCGAAGAGGCACCTGCTATCGAAGAGACATCCGCTGCTGGTGATGCTCCAGCCGTGGAAGACGCAGTTGATGCCGAGCCCGCACCCCCTGCTGAAGAGACAGCTGCGCCCGAGGAAGCACCTTCCACCGAAGAGACAGCTAGCGCCACCCAAGAAGCTCCCGAAGTTGACGCCACGCCCGAGGCGCCCGCCACCGAGGACACAGCGCCATCCGAAGACGTCCCAGCCGCCGAAGATACGCCTGTTGGTGAAGATACATCGACTGTCGGTGATTCTTCTCCTGTCGAAGAAGCACCAGAGACAGAGGATACACCAGTTCCCGAGGAGCCCGCCCATGGTGAGGCTGCACCCGTTGTTGACGAAACGCCCTCTACCGAGGAACCGCCTATCGTCGAAGACATCTCTACTGCCGAGGAGCCAGCTCCGCCGGCGGAACCGCCAGCTGATGAACAAATACCCGCTGTCGAAGAAGCCCCAGCTGTTGAGCCTGTTCCTACTGAAGTTGCTGAGGATGCTGCTGAACCAGAGTCAGAAGCAAGCGTTGCTCAGGAAGAGCCATCACTGGATGAGGAGCACGACATCGAAACATCTAGTCCCGAAGTCGAGGAAGCTCGAGCATGGACCTCAGCAGCGCCGGCAGATGTTGCTGTTGTGGCTTCAATACTTGCAGCTGAAGCAAAGGCCAATGCACCTGAATCCTCACCTGATCAAGATCCTGCTCCGGAATCTCCTGATGCTGCGGAAGTTCCGGAGTCTGCGCCAGTTCCATCTAGCGACCCACCGTCAACTGAGAGCGAAGACAAGCCTGACGTTGCAGATGCCGAAGCACCTGCAAGTACTGAGCCGGTCATGGATGTAGCTGAGCCCGACGAGGCTAGCGCTGATACCACCGGTAAGTTCACACATGTCTTACTGTCGCACAGCGAGCCGCGTTCAAGCAAATTCATTCGTAACCAATGCTGACAAGATCACAGGTGAGCCCCAACCTGACTCCACAGCGGAAGCCTCAGAAGCAACGGACGCACCCGAACCTGCTCCCGCAGAGGAAGCTATCGAACCAGCCTCCGGCGAAGGCGACAGTGAGCCGACAGCTGCACAAGACGAGACCAATCCCTCCACCGAGGGGCCAGAAGCTGCGTCGACATCAGAAGAGACAGACACGCAAACGACGGAAGCCACGCCTGATGTAACACCAGAGGAGCCTACTACATCGGCACAAGACACTGCTGATATGGCACCCATCGAAGTTGCTACAATGGAGGCTGAGGCGAGCGACGAAGAACTGCCAACCGCCGACACCATGCAGGACATCTCCGATTGGGAGCAAGACGACGACAATGTTTCTGACATGGGAATCTCGGACTGGGAGAAGGACGACGATGCCTCATCACAACCCGGTGAGAGCGAGACCAATCCTTCCGAGCATCAAGACTTCGATCAAGAGAGCATCGCACAAGACTCATCGGAGCCTGTACATGAGGATGAGAAGTCACCAGACCAGGACAAGCCAGAGACTGTACAGGTCATTCAGCCGTCTGACACTACAACCTCTGCTCCGGTGGCCGATGACGTCGATGAAGTTGCCGTCGTCTCAGTCCATGTCAATGAGGATGAGCCTACCAAGAACGATACGTCCGCGGCCGTACCAGAGGTCGTCGAACAGAACGAAGCCTCAGCCTCTGAAACATCGCCAGAACCATCCGAACCACAAGAGACTGGCGACTCAGCTGATGCTTCCGCGGAGGACCAGACGCCTGAGACACGTATCGATGAAAGCACTGAAGAGGCACAGCTTGCAGCTGGCGATGCACCTGCAGCTCAAGAACCCGCCCCGGAGGTGAGCCAGCCAGCAGCTCCAGAGGAGAATGCCATCACCGATGCGAGCACAGACGCACAAGACGATGCGAGTGCACACGAATCGCCAGTCGACGAGTCGGAGCCGGCGGTGAGTAGCGAGGCTGCCAAGGCCAGCGAGCAAGTCATAGTCTCGGCTACACCCGATGACGTGGAGAATCCAGATTCATGCACAGGTACGTATCTCCTATGTTTTTTGTGTTTCACATCTTTATGTCCGTCTGCACTTCTTTTCGCTGGCTCAATTACGCACGATTCGATGGTAGCGCGCCATGCCGGCGGCGAATCGGGCTAGCGAGCAGCGGTTGGCTTGCCCCATTGGACGCCCCATATTTTCCTTTGGCCCACCTGCCAGCACATTCTGCGGACATTCTGCCACCGCTGTGACTAGCTTATCGTCACGTGGAAGCATGTGTGTCGCCATGAGTCTCGGGCTGCGATAGATGCATCGCAATTTGTCGACGTTCCAAGATGCGTGGTTTTGCTCCGCGCTAGTTCTGCCGCTTGTCTTTTGGCTCCCGACATCCCCGTCACCTCTGAATCTCACCTTCTTTTTTTTCGTGATTGCACTTCTACTTGTACAGCAGCGATAATTTCCTCCACCCAAAAGTGGCCATGCACCGCACCCGCTGACCAGTGCAGCTGAGACTGAAGCACCTCTACCCAAACTCGACGACAATACCGACGAAACATGCGCAAGCATCCCAGCTGACGCGACAAGCGAAGTCAGCCCAGACCCTGTCTCGAGAGAGGCTGACGTTGAGACGCCAATTGAAAACCCCACGGTCGAAGAGAAGCAGACCGAACACGCCGCGGGCGATCCAGTTGTTCTTCAAGATATTTCCGAACAAACCGACCATGATGTTGTAGCTGCCAACGTTGCGCTAGCTGAAGCCGAGCCCGACTCTGCACCAGACATGCCGGCCAAGAAGGCGGCGGAAGTGGTATGTATAAGCTGTGATTGATTGCGAGCCTACATCCGCCTCATGCCGTTCGCCATTCAGAAGAGTATACTGATCCATTGCAGGTCCATGAGGACGTTGGGCCCGATGAGGAGCCACAGCATTCGGAGGTTTCCAGCGGAGCCAACACAGGACCGGAGCCAGATGATGAACCAGTAGAAGAGCAGGAATCCGATGCGGGGAGCGAATCTGGGTCGGAGTCCGAGGATGATGACTGGTCTGGATCTGAAGTGTCTGCCGCACCTTCTGCCTCTGAAGTTCCCCAGGCCGACGACGCGCCTGACTCAGCACCCGCTGAAGATGAAACAACGAATGCCGAAGAGGCTCCGCCGAGTGAGATCGCTGATGTCACTGCTGCTGAGCCTGAAGAGCCGGAGGAAGAACGGTCAATTCTTGACGACGATGCCGGCTCCGACGACGATGCTGCTTCCGATCACTCCTGGAATTCCCAAGAAGAGCCAGAGAGTTCCATGGTAGTCGACGATGCTGCCGAGCCCGACGAGCCAGAAGCGTCCGAGAGTCCGGAGTCGCCTGCCGAATCGGCCGCGATCACAGAAGCGCATCCAGGTCTATCACTCGAGGTCAATGTCGCAACCTCTGAGATCGTCCCGGCCGCAGAGTCTCCAGCATCAGAGGTCGAAGATCCGTCTGATCCTGCGCTCGAAGCAGTTGAAGAGGAGCAGGGGGATGATGAGAACGACGTTAGTGCTATCACTCAAGAAGAGTCTATGAACGATGATTCACTAGTTTCGTCACAAGATTCCGCTGAGCCTGGAGAGGAGCCCGCAGCAGCTACCGAGGTGTCGGAGCCGGCGGATGCGCCCCAAGCAGAAGAGGAAGTTGCCCAGGAAGACGAGGGCGAGGATGCTTCTCAAGTCAGCGAATCTGGCAGCGAGAGTGAGGCTGGAGAGTCCCTTGCACCACCGGAAGACCATGCTGAGGCCGATGACGACGCTGCGCCGACCACACTTGACGGGGAGGAGCCAGACACCGCCGCACCGCTTACCGAAGACCCATCAACCGATGGCGTTGAGAATGAGGCATCCGAGGCGGGAGATGCATCTGTGGCTGGACAGGATGTGGAAGAGCCTGCTGAACCAGAGACGGCTGAGCCAGTCGCAGCTGAGCCGGAGCTGGAAGCGGAAGCTGTTGAGCAAGATGCGGATGCAGCTGCAGATGAACCAGAGGAGCCGCCGGCAGAGGAAGCTGCTGAACCAGAAGAACCGGTGGCGACGCCCGACGATGCCGCCGATGAGGACCCCGATGCGGCTCAAGAAGACGAATCTGTTGCAGCTGATGCCGAGCCTTCACTCATCGAAGAGGCGGAACAGGCAGAACCAGCACCACCTCCAGAAGACTCACCAGAGCCACCTAGTGAGGATGGTCAATCGAACGATGGATCTGCAGCTACAGGGGAGGCAGATGAGCCATCGGTGGTTGAGGCCAGCGAAGCGAACGACGACGGTGCCGAAGCTGCTCCACCAGCGTCAGAGCCAGCCCCTGCAGAGGACGCACCGCCTGAAGAGGCTCCTGCTGAGGTGGAAGAAGCTCTAACTGAAGCCGCTGAAGCTGCTGAGCCAGTGGTAGAGGGCGGTGATGTTGAAGAAGTTGCGGCAGACGAAGCCCCGGAGGAAGCAACGAATGAAGAGCCGGCATCTTCGCCTGATGTCGAGCTCGAGGAAGAACAGGTAGAGGCACCACCCGAAGCCCCTGAGGAAGAACAGCCAGAACCCGAATCACCAGCTGCTGTCGAAGAGCCCGAGTCGCCGACTGAACCCGTCCCTGAAGAACCGGAAGCACCAGCTGAGGCGGCCCCAGAACCAACGCAGGAACCCGAGGAGCCCGCTCCCGTAGCGGCGGATGCATCCGCTGATATCCCGGAAGATCAGGATGCGGAGGAGTCGGTACCAGCCCCCGAAGTGGAGGTAGAAGAAGTCGTAGCCGAGGTGGCCAATGAAGAGACTCCCGAACCCGAGCAGGCCGATGACGATGCACCGGCAGACCGGTCCCTCGACGTTGACGAAGTTCCAAACACACCTTCGCCTCTACCCTCTGTAGCTGCTGTTGCTGCTGCTGGGATTACCGGTGCCGCCGCTGCTGCATTAGTCGGTCATGCTGTTGATGACCGTGCGGACAGGGACCGCGACTTTGCAGTTGAGGACGAACCGTCAGCCGATACACCCAGTCGTGAGAAGACCCGTCGCCGACATTCACACACGCGTCGTGAAAGCCAGCACCGGCCAAGCCGCAGACGCGAAAGTGGCGCTAGTATTATGGAGCGACCAATAATGCCAGCCTCTGCCGTTCCTGATGCGCCAAGAACAAGGCGTCGCGACAGCATGACAGAGCGCGAAGCGGCCGAGCGCAGAAGGGCCAAATTGCGCGAGGTTGAGATACCCAGTAGTGGTAGCGACATACAGAAGGCGTACCCGGATCCGTACCGCTCGCACTACCGAGAACCCAGGGGTGAGGAGAGATACAGCAAGCGTCGCCCCGTCGAGGAGGTTGATGAAGAAGCCGATAGACAGAAGCGACGCGAAGCCCGGCGGGCCGAGAGGGCTGAGAAGGAGCGACTTGCTGCCGCAGACGCTGCCCGCCTAAAGGCAGAAGAGGAGGCGAGAAAGCTGGAGCATCGGGAACGACGCCGAGCAGTCAGGCGTGCCGAAGAAGAGCTCATGAGAGCCATGGAGGAACGCAAGAAACTCAAAGAAGAGCAAAAGCTCGCCCAGGAAGAAGAGGAGCGACGCATTCGACACGAGAAGAGGAGACAACGACATGAGGCTGAAAAAGAGGCGAAGCGTCTGGAACAGGAGGCGATTGAGCAGGCGGCGCGCGAAGAAGAAGAGGCCCGGAAATTACGGCGTCAAAGGAGAGCGGAGCGGGAAGCAGCCAAAGCAGCTGGCTTGCTGAAACCAAAGGAAGAGCTTATTGATCTTTCTCGCGATGCTGCTCGCCGAGCAGCAGAGGAAGACGACGATGGCGCTTCACCTCCACCCCCGCTGCCACCAGTAGTCGACGACACCCCTCCTCGTAGTGCGCCGCGCAGGCGTTTGAGTACCCGCGAGACTCCACCGAACGTGAAGCGTGGTAGTCTCTTCGGTGGCATCTTTGGCCGCTCAAAGCCCGAAGCGACGCCACCGGCTGCGAAACCGTCGAGATCGTCTCGTGCCCGCGCCAACACGCTAGAGGCTACGCCTGTCAAGTCTTCGCGAAGGGAACAGGAGATTGAACGACCTTCGAGCCGAGACATGTCGTCGGATCAGAGCCGAGAGCGCCCAGAGCGCATGCACCGCAGTCGGCGTCTTTCGCATAGTCAACGTCGCTTCGCTTCTGCTGAGGAAGAGGCCGATTACTACAGGTGGAAAGAGGAGCGACGCTTCATGCGTCGTCCTGAACACGAAATGTCTGGTGGACGGGACGGGGGAGTTTCTCTTCCACCACCGCCTCCGCCGCCTGAGGATCTCCCGCCGCCGCCACCAGAGCCTTTCGAATACGAGCCAGAGCCAGAACCGATCGAGACGATTGAATCGCCAGTGATCGAGGACGCAGCCGCGGTTGTCGGTGAGATCTCCATCTCAGACGAGGAAAGACGCGAGCGTCGTCGAAGTCGGCGTATGTCCAAACCGGAAGAACGCCCCAAGACACGCCGCATCTCTGTTGTCGAGAAAGAGAGGCCGTCTGATCGTCGAGTGCAGTCGGATCGGCCCCGCGCACGAGACCATGGTGAAGACCGTCCGAGGCCCAGGCGCGGCGAGACCGACCGACGCGACAGGAGGAAGAAGAAGGAAGAGTCCAGTGGTCTCAAAGGACTCTTCGGGGGGTTGAAGAGGCGAATCACTTGAGTTTGGAGTATAACAGAACCAGACATCTACATTTGGGAAGGGGTTCCACACGGACAACACTGGCGTTTTGGCTTGGTCGAATTGTTCTATACCACTGACGGATCTCCTACTACATTTTAATCACTGAAGGTGTTTGGCGTTGGGTTTCAGCATAAGATGGATGGGTGGGCATCTGTAATTGTATGGCTCTATGTTCTTGTTTCTTTAGATCGGTGATGAGGGCTCGCGAGAGTCAGGTAGCATATAGCAGCTGCTTCGGCGGTGATACGATACGAATGATGATTCATTTTGTACGAGACTAGGCCTTGCGATGCTGATGTGTGTGCTACGTCGCGTTATGGGGAAGTGGTTGTTGGTAGAGCTACGTAGGAAGGCGCGTGTCTAATTGACGCTTATCGCCTAGAACCTGTTTCTGCAGTCGCAATGGTTCCCCTCATCATCTCGATCGGAGAGCCCGGAACTGAAAACGAGGGGATCGCAATCCATACAACAACGATGTCATGGGTGTCGATCAGCGTTCAAGGGTGTAGACCCCTTGCTCATTCGATTGCGCAGTGCAATGGCCTGAGCTTCCGTCTCACATAAGGTAGCGTCCCTCGCTGCCCAACCATCACGAGCGCCCACGCCTTTCACCCGCCTAGACGATAGATCAATAGTGGGCTTCAAATACCCATCGAAATACAGAAATCGCCATGGAAACTGCAGCGCCAGCGAAGCGACAATGGAAGGGCCGCACCGACGAGCAGAAAGCCGAGCGAGCCCGAAAGCGCCAGCAACAAAAGTCCGGGCTCAACGCGGGAGGATCACGTACATCGACTAGCAAGAAGAATAAATAGAGTACGCCTTTAACTTAGACTATAGTCTAGTCTTAATTTATACTAGTTATTAAGATAGTACTTTAGTATATAGTATAATTATAATAGCTTTAATATTATTTACTAAAGTACTACTAGTTTAGTATATTACTATAGTACTAGTACTATAGTTATTAGTAAAACTAATAATTTAGAAAAATACTATTAGTTACTAAAAAATACTAGTAACTTTTAAAAGAATATTTCTTAGTTATAATAAGTTAAAGTTTTTTAAGTATAATAGTATATAAAGCTACTTATATACTACTAATATTCTTCTTTCTTTTTTATATAATACTAAAAGCCTAATATAATTAAAACACCTCTAACCTTTACTAACCTATCGCTCGAATAGTTAAAGGACTAGCAAGAAGCCAACAAAAGTGCAACGCGTGTTCACCAAACTTGAAGAATGGAAGCCAGAAGATTTGGGATTCAAAGTCGGCATCAAAGAAATCGAGTTTGGACCAGACTTCGTGGTGCAAGAGTAGGTGGACGCATTTCCGGACCTGGCGGGTGGGGCTAACTCACGTGACAGCGCGCATCTCGATGCGATTGCTACAGCCGACGAAGCTTTTTGTACCAAATTGGAGAAAATCGGTTTGGGGGCGCGTCTTGGTAAAACCAATATGCCTATCACCGACGATGCAGTGGTTCGTCTCGCACGCGCGTGCCCAAACCTCAAGACTCTCCGGCTTGACTCGGCCCTGCTCATCACAGGGACGTGCATCCCACCCATTCTCACAGCATGCCCAAACATCACCTCGCTCAGCATTACCGGCCACAACGGCCGCACAGGCAACTTAAACCTAGACAATCTAAAGCCCATGGCCGACGACCCCATCGTCTTCGTCAGCGCACCCAAACTCAAAAACCTGGATCTGCGCCGCGCGATCAACGCTGCACAAGAGAACTTCTCCGATGTGCTAAGAGCGATCACTAGGCCGCCAGGTCGCAAGAATAAGCTGGAAGTGCAGTTTCAGCATCCGACTGTGCATTGGGAGAAGGTGTACAAGAATGGCACGGTGAAGCAGCCGAGAATTACCCAAGCGATGAAGGAACAGGAGATGCTTGAGGAAGTGATGTGGGCGGTGAAAGGCAATAGGGGGTTTGATATCGATGACGAGGATGATGGGTACGGGACTGATTATAGTGCGATAAGTGCGATTGTTCATGGGGCGATGTAGGGTTGTGTGGTGTGGGGTGGTGCACTTGGCTTGGTGTAAAGACAAGGCTTAACATTGTTATCACAGAGCATAAAAGCGTGGAAGATTATTGATACTAAATTCATCGTGGGTGTGACGTTCGTTTTGTAGCTACTACAAGCCTCAACAAACCGCCTGCATCTCGAAATGCCTTTAGCCCAGGTATCCCCCCGCTACAGATTGCTTTGAGTACGCCCACCGACCTAATCAGAGGCTACGACAACGTTTGGCATGATTATATGGCCCATTCCAATCCTCATCTTCCACATCGAAGCAGCAGCCAGGTGTTGCCTGGACGAGCCCTCTCGTGAAGTTGCCGCGTTCCAAGGCATCCAGTCTTCTTTTGCCTCCTTCTTGACCTTGATGGTCCAAGAGAAATGCTCGGCATGATCCACCGTGATGTCAACAATCGCGTCTCGAAAGTACGTGCGCCAAGCCGCCGTCCTCTCAAGGGCCATAAGAACGGCTGTGAGAAAGCAAAAGAAGCTATGGTGTGGGTCTACGTCGCGGTCAGCGTGCATAGGGTCGAAAACATCAGGGGCCCGATAAGGGTCCAGAAGGTTAATCTTAACAGATGGAGCTGCGTTTTGGAAGCGGAGAAGTGGCATGAGGTTAACCGTGTAGTAGGACCGTGGTATTCTTATATACAGCGTATTCGTGCAGGTCGCTGGTATCGGTATGAAGTCTGCAATGAATTCGTTGATATCGGTAATGTTCACCGTTGCATGGACGTCTTTTAGGTGAAGGGGTTGGAATTCTTTGCGGAGCTGCCGGCAGGTGTGGACTAGGCCCAAAGCTATCCTGAGGGTGTTTTGGTCATTCGACGCACGGAGCGTCGCAGTATTTGCATCTGCTGTAGGTCGTTTGAAGTGTATGTATCGCTGTCGGACGACCAGGTAGTCGTAGATCTCATTACGGATTTCTGTGAAGAATGTCATTAGCGATTCTGAAATTGGATCTGCTGGAGGCTACTTACCTCCGGGAAGCTGGAGTAAGCGTGACTGAGGTTGCGAAATGGATGAAGTCATCTTGCAACTTTGGCTTCTGGTTGGGAATTGGGGTGGCTCGTATGAGGGTGAACGACGAGGAAGAAGAGTCAAGCCTTAAGTATCTGGGGGTTAAATAGGGAAACGTCATTGAATGGCTGTTGATACACGATGCAGGTGGTGGTTGTACGATATTACTTTCACAGTACCTTCCTCATGCTTCCCTTGAGATCTTGACATAGCCGCAGCCCTGGTCTGTGCGTTGGTACGCTATATTCTGATTGCTATACGCTTCACCTATAGTACTGCGATAACGCAGAGTGAAACGAGCCACTTACAACTTTCGCAACATCAGAAACATAGATAAAAAGATGCTCCTACAAATAAGAGAAGTCGCAAGTACAATATACTAGTCTGTGCGTGCCCGATAGTAGAAACTATGAAGGCACCTTTTGTATGTATATGAAATGAAGTTTGGGTGAAGGATATTGACCATTGAACGTCCTTCCTTTCACCACTAAGCTTGTCAATACTTATTTTTTCAAGGCCATCATCTACAGCGTTGAGCTCTTCAACATCGATCCAGGACTTTTAATCCTCCGGCTGAGCAGACACGCGAGTCTGACCGAGCACGTAGTAGGAATGACCATAACTGTCGAAGAGATCCACTTCCTTCGCCCAAGTCAACAGCTCATGGCTCCCGGGAAAGGGATTAGTGATACCAGGCTCTAAAGAAGGTTCAAAGGCCAGAACCTTGAACTCAAGTATGATCTCGCAGTAGGGTAGTTCCATGCGGAAGACAAGTCGAGTGCCTGACGGGATTATGAAGTACTCCCAGACCCATTGCGGTTGTATTTTTGCCCTTGGTCTGGGTGCTCTCGTGGTTTGAGCCCTGATACGGAAGTCTAGGAGTCGACCAGGGAACTTGCGAACGAAGTAAAGCGGGTCGAGCGCCCCGAGGTAGTCGTGGGACCCGCAATCGATCTCACGAACTATGTCTCTGTGACCGTAACCATCGAGCGTGTCTCTGAGACCATGAATACAATCAGAGAAGTCTAAATTCGTGATATTGGTGCAACGAGGCACACTCCTCAGAAATATCGGAAGAAATTCGCTGCGGAGAAGTTGACAGGTCTGCGTAAGACCGAGCGCAAGGGGTCGAGAGCTTTGCCAATAGACTTCGCGAGACTCTTTCTTTGCCCCAGATGTTGATGAAATCTTGAGCGGATAAAAGCGCAAAGGTATGGCTGTAATCGGATCGAAACTCGACGGATTTGAGAAACGAGCCACATGTACTGTCAACTGCAAAGTTGATTAGTACATATACCAAAGTGCTTTGGACCTGAGACGCGTCTACGTACAATTTTCGTGTTGGAGACATCAACGAGATAGCCGTAGATCCGATTGCGCAACTCTGTGGCCGTTATCAGCGATGTATATTGGACTTTGAAATTCAATACTCACCCCCAGGCAGCTCAAGCAGGCGGCTTCTCGACGCAGGTGTCGCGTCGGTGGTTTCGGGTACCCATTCTGCCATATTTGTAATAGTCGCAGTATATTTCGTTCAGGATTACAAGGACCGGAGTTGCGTATCCCCAAATGAAGCTACGAGGTGGTCCGGGGATGTCTGACGGGGTAAAGTTAAGCGCGCTATCCCGATTAGGCAACGGCGGGGAGCCGGGTGATGAGTCAGCAAATAGCTCCAATCGTTGGTCAACGCGCGAACGCCTTCATCTCCTTTTACCTAGCGCATTCAAGAAAAGATACCCGATCTCCGCAGCCGACAATAGGATTACGTCGAGTACTTCTACAGATCGTTCCCAGCCTCATTGCCGGCCGTATCTAGACACCAACCTTCAGTCGGACGCGACGGACGACGCGCCAGCCGTGCTAACTGTCGTCGCGGAATCAATCGTCACCGCGTATCCGAATCTTCAGGCTCGTAAACGAGTAACATTCATCCCCTGTACTCGCCGAGACCAAGAGGCGTGAAAAATCACACAGTCGTAGTCAAGCACGCTGCGCAAGATGCGGTGCTATTTCTTAGAGCTTCCCGGAGGTAAGTACTCGCCGTCGTTAATGTTAGTCAAGAAGCACACTAACATCTGGGGCGGTCGTAGAACTTCGCAATCACATCTACACGCATCTCATCGATGCAATCCCAACAAAGGTCCGACTCATACCTCCGCCTTACTCGGCAAGCCTGCTCAGTCGAACACCAAATCTGGTATCCCGTTGGTCAATGCTTCGACGGAAGACACTCGGCCTCACTCAAGTTTGTCGCCAAGTCCGCGATGAGTTTCTTCCAATGCATCGCCAGCACATTTCCGCGCATGTTCAAGACGTCGCTACCGTGGAAAAGTTTGTGGATGTCTTCTTTCCCGACCTTGAGAAAGCATGTGGCACCGTATTATTGAGCCCATCGAGTACCAAGTACAACGTCGAGCTCGCTCCTCTAATTCGGCTGCTATTGGCTGCACCTAAACTTGTCATCGAATTTGGCAATGTATACAGAAAAGACATGAGCTGCCTCAACAGTCTCATTGACGTACGATCCAACGACACCTGGAAGAAGTTCTTCGAGGAAGCTGTTACATCTGTGCTGTACAGAACCCCTCGACTCATCATCAAACCTCAGTTGCGCTTGGAGATCACCTCTCTGGTGAAAGAACCGTGGATGATTTGCAAGCCAGATTACACTGCCGACGACATACTCCGAAGTGATTATTTAGTCCATATGGAGAACTGGTTGCAGAGAATCGGCCTCGGTCAAGTTCCGATACCACCAGATCTGATCGATATCACTGTCAGACACGTGCTTCCACATGACGCTGTTCCAAGCCGTGAACTTCCCCGACGCGCCGATAGTAATGATGAGGTGGAGGGCTTGAAATCTTTGTAAGGACCTACCGGTAATGTGCATCGTAGGCCGGGCAACTGCGCCGTTGCCGTGAAGCCTGGAATCGAAGAAGCCGTTATACGAAACGATCAAAGGCGCGACGCTCAACAAGTAGGAGGCATAGTGACGATCTCCTTTGCATGAGTTGGCCCTGGAGCACGTGGACATGCGCAAATCATTACATCGCATGATAGAATGGTACATCTCTGGTATTTGGATGCCGAGTCCGAGTCCATGCTATGGCAGTAGCAACACTACCCGACACGCTTTCATCTCAATTGTTCCTGTTCTAGACTCTCCCACCTTAAGCCTGCCCCTCAAAGATCTTTGTTGAGATACTCGACAGGCCCAACATACACCTTGCGCCCCTTGAGAAAGAAGTACACAAGAGAGAATACCACGACAACGCCGTAGATGAGGATATTCCAGTTCATCAGATCAGGTGTTGGGTGCGGGAATGTGGGGAAGAAGGCGAACACCAACACTATACACAGATACACAACGGACACGCCATTGACCCAGATACCAGCGCGGCCGAGCGAGAACTTGCAGGGGAGGAGGGTCTCTCTGTTCCATCTCTTGATGAACATGCATGAGACACTGACGATGTAGGACGAGAGGAGAGCACACGTGCCCAGCGATGCGACGGAGTTGAATGCCACGGTGCTGCCGATGTTGATGAGGGAGAGACCAATGGCAATACCGAAAGACACAAGAACACTGTTGAGAGGGATATCCCAGCCTGGTCGGACTCGGGATAGGAAGGCACTGAAGGGAACGCCGTGGTCGCGAGCAAAGGCGAAGAGCTGGCGCGAGCATGTTGCCACATTGTTGACGCATCCAAACACGGCCATGATAGTCGTGATCGATGCCAGAGCTGTAGCCCCTGGAATGGACTGCGTAGCGTTGTACATGATCTGGATGTGGGGCTGCCCGGTCGGCGACATGATGGCGCTTTCGACGTCGCCGAGGCAGAAGCAGAAGGTAACTAACATGAGGAAACCCAAACTGCTGTTAACGACTGCTGTCCAGATCATGGCACGGGGAAGTGTGTGCGATGCGTCCTTCAATTCTTCCGACATATGGGTAGCAGCATCTGCACCCAGGAGAGAGAAGATTGGCGAGAGCTGTCCCACCAACACAGACAGGCCCACACTACCCCATCCAGCGTTGTCTTGGAATCCACCGAAAACCTCACTGGATGGGCTGCGCGGCCCAAGCACCCACATGGTGATGAAGATCGCGAAGAACCCAAAGATGTGCAGCACCAGGACGATGCCTTCGACCAGAGGTAGCTTACGAGCTAGGAGTGTGTTGAACAGGATCGAGAAGGTTGCTACCGCGATGACCAAGAGGGTGCCGTGCCATCGTTCGGGGACGTAGTTGGGGTTGTTGAGGATGATGAGTCCTTGCACCTGACCACCAGCAAGGAAGGCGATGGACGCGATTCCCGTCTGCCAACCCAGCACGCAAAGCCAGCCACTGGTACCCGGTTAGTGATAAGCCTTGTGGATATACTCGGGGAAGCTTACACGAGGTAACTTAAGAACTTCTGGTGTTTCTTTGGCGCGAATTCAGACACCCAGTGATACTGTCCACCGGAAGTAGGAGCCCTTAATATTCGTCAGCGATTGGTTCGTGTCGAGGAGATCTTAGCAACGGGCCGCTACGCACATTGAAGCCATCTCAGCCATTGAGACAATGACAAAGCCCATGCCTACCGCTGTGACGAGGAACATGACGATAGCGCCACCGGTGCCACCATTGGTCAATGGGATGATGAGAGTTCTGTTGGGAGTCAGACAGTGCAGATCAAAGGTTCATGCATACCCACGTTAAAATGGTCTCCCATGTCGCCATCAACACCATGCTGTATCCGAATATCGACACAAAACCGAAGTTTCGTCGCAGCTCCTGTCGCTTTCCCATACGATACATGTCCTTTTGGTCGCCAGCGGTCCCCCTCTTTGTTGGAGCGATGCCATCCTGTTGCGACTCGTTCTCAAGAGGCTGGGCTACGGTAGTAGCCCGATTTTTGAGTTCCGACATGATTAGAAAGAGGTGTGTAGAGTCAAAATTGAAGAGAATGAGCGCGAATCTTGAAGTTTTCACTGTGTGACAAGATCAGCACAGAGACTGGAGTGCAGCATGCCTCGGTAACATCAGAAAGGATGCGGCAGATGGCGCAACTGCACCTGCCTCAACAGTACAGAAGAGATCTGAAAGCAGCGGCTCAAGCCGACGGCCAGCGGTCAGATGAAAAAACCGAGAGAACGTGATGGGTAGATGCACGTTGACGATGCAGGGAACGGGCCTCGGGGGCGGCCAAGGCTCAATGGAGGCTAGCACGCCGCTCGGTGGGGGGAAGCGGCCTTCGAGCCGCAATGCAACTTCAATCCTTCGCACCTCTGCGACATGCTGCCAATCCGGGTGCCTTGTCAGTGCGGCTCGCTTGCGCAAGGCGTTTCGGCTACGCGCCCAGTGCTGGCTCATCCAGCTTCCTTGAGACGAGACGGGCAATCCCTCGCATGGGTGAGCACAGACGCGATGACAGTGAGATGGCTGCGGCACAGTCGAAGGGCTGTATCAAGCGCTCTCAACTTCATGGTCGAAGCTATGGCTCATCAGCCAAAATCGACGCTCACGCGCATCTCCAAACTCCAGCATGTCCGCTACGGCGCAAGACGGCAATCGCTGGGCGCGGATTACACCTGACGATCGCAGTGGGATCTTGTACATTGTCGCACTTCTCGAGTTCATTTACACTAGCCTCACATTTCTCACACGGATCTTCATCAGACGGCGTATGCTGGGACTAGATGACCTAGCGATGCTGATTGCGCAGGTAGGGTTGCTCCCAGCTTGACATTGCCTGCGTCGATAGATTAACAACAACAGGTGGCTAGCGTTACCCAATTCTCGCTACTCCTCGTTTCGCTGTCATCTGGCCTGGCACAAGCTTTTGGACGTCTTGACAGCGAGCAGTACTCGCGGATGGCCACCGTAAGGCGACCCTTTCCAGCGCGAAACCTTCTCTAACACATTCACAGACTTACTCACATTGTCAAGTCTTTATCTACATATCTCTCGGCTTTTCCAAGATTGCATTGGTATTGCTGGTACGACGCCTCTTCACGCGCGACATGAAACGCGCTTGGGCAATATGTAATGTGGTTATCGGGATCATCGTAACGTGGACACTAGTATCCGCGGTGCTAGTCTCAGCTAGCTGCACCAAAGAGAGCTTGTCGCCAAGGAAAACCTCTGATGTCTGCCATGGTATCGAAACTCGCTACATGATCATCATCGTCACGGATGGAATAACCGACTTAGCGCTCGCCCTCATCCCCACGTATCTATGCCGCGATCTTCAGATGAAGACTACCCTCAAGTTGGAGATACTGGGGATTTTTTCGCTAAGGCTTCCGCTTCTCATGCTTGCCGGCCTGTTCTACCGGACTTGGAGAAGCTCGTTACGTGGCGAGAATCCCGGCGTCGAGCGGACAACAGCGTTGATCTATCAGCAATCCCAGCTCTGCGTCTCACTCATAGCTGGAACTCTACCATGTCTCAACTCCTTCATTCGCAGTTTTGACACTGGCAGTGGTCAGAAAGTAGGCGTTGGATGCTCTCCCGACTCAGGCGGTTACGGCCACATGTCGAGCATACATCACAGCACTACGCAGTCCGACCACAGCGAAAGTCTGCCCATGTCTCGATTTGATCGTGTTCACAGCGTTACATCACGAAAACGAAGACATGCCAGCGATGGTGTAGTCAGTGTCAACAGGAAGCCCTATGTTGCGGAAAGCAGTTTTGGAACAAATGACATGAGGGGCAACCTGGATCGCATGAGTACACGAGAATCCCATCGGAGGAGTCAGCACAGCACTCAAGAGCTTTTCATTCGGAAGGACGTATACTTTGAAGTGAAGCGTGAACCTGTCCCAGAAGGGATCGATGCACATCAGCCCGGACAACTTCACCTGCCTAAGTAGATGTATCAGGCCATACGTCGGGACCGTCGAACATGTGTCATCAAGGATGCATGCGATTATCCGGGGATCGAGCCAGCTAGCCGGAGACAATAATGGCCGCATTCCTCTACAAGGTGTACAGCCTATCGAGCCATCCCTCCGGCGGTTTCAGCATCGTGGACCCACATGAACAATATATTTCCACCCTTCACGTCGTCTTTCTCCAGCGGATTTCCTTCCCCTTCGCTCGCAGTCCCCACTACCTCAACAAATCCGCAGTCTTGGTAGAATTTATCCGAGTACTCACCGGCCGTTACACACGCTTTAACAAACGCTTTAACACCCTCAGCCTCGGCACGATCCAGCCCCCACCGCACTAGCAGCCGTCCGGCCCCACGACCCTTAACATCAGGATCCACGCAGCAAAGGGAAGGATATCAATTGGTTGCGCACGGCTCGGCCCAGTAGTGTTTAGTAAAAGGTGCGGCCTAGATCAAAATCGTCTTATTCGACGGGTCTAGGGCGCGGTTCTGCGTTGAAGGCAACGCGGGAAATGTACCAGGATCAGTACATCCTGCGATAATTCTTTCCGCGCCTAGGGTGTCGCCTTGGGGTTGCCAGATTGCTGCGCCGATGATATTCTCTTGCTGATATGAGGTGGTTGAGACGGCGATGTTGATCTTGTTTCATGAGTCGGTCCAGTAGTTGCGTGCCTATTCGTGCCAGAATATCTTCACGTCCTCTGGATACTGGCCTCGGTGGGGGTGAATTACTCGACCGAAGAGGTCTTCTTCCATGAAGGCACGCGCGCAGATGCCGAAGATGGCTGGTTCATCGGAAGGGTTTGCAAGGCGGAGATGCATGTTTGTAATTTGGGATATGTGCTGGTGTGGATGAGGTGAGACCCAAAATAATCGGGATATATGTAGCCTCAAATGCACCCCCGAACTTGGATTAACGTACGTTCATGCAACTGTCGAGTGAATCCTTAGTCTAACCTGTTGCCTTAGAGAGGCTAGGCGTCACAGTCGTTAAGATGTGGACAAAGCCTGGAGGAGTTGATGTGTAAAGCGTCTGGGGGATGGTGCGTTCAAAAGTCGGCAGGCAACATTGAGACATTGACTATCCCTGGTGTAGCCGTTGAGAAAACACTCGGACTGGATCTTTTGCACGTGATGTGTTGATGCCTAGGTAGTGGCCACTGTACCTTCTCTTGCTCCAGTTCATAATCTCGCCCCGTTTTGGCTTCGCTTATCTCATCACCGCTCCTGACGCTACATCTACTCCGGGATTGCTTATCCGCGAAACGATGCAGGGTACTCCAGACATCCCTATAGCGACATGCCGACTCCTACAACTGCCTGGAGGTATGTCTCCTCCCCTCCCCTAGAGCGCCGCGCATACTAATCCCTCGATGCAGAAGTGCGCAACGAAATCTACCAGCACCTCGCACAGCCCCGCAGCATTGACTTTGGCACACTCAGCCTCAATCCGCACATTCATCACTGTTTGCCTGGATTGCCGCTCCGCTGGACTTCGAGCGGGCGCAACACACTCGGCCTTTCCCAAACATGTCGGAAGCTACGGCGCGAATTCCTACCACTACTCGAGCAACAGTCGACGGTAGTAATCGGAATGCATCTGGTAGATCCATACATTGCAGACTTCTTCCCGGGCGGTACTGAGGCGCGCGGCAATTTGCGCATCATGACCCGACAATACGGTGTGTCGCTTGAACTAGCTGGATTGCTTCGGCTCTATGCGAGGTCTCCTTTACTGCGGGTTTTCCTCCATACGCCCTTCCCATGTCCACCTCGCAGAGTCATACCCGAAGATCGAAACAGCGCTTGGCTCGGCTATGCGATCAAGTATGTGTCTCGATTGACGTACACGCGCTACGTTGACACGCTCGATCGTGCAAACCACCATTTTCACGTCTATCTGACACATGATGCCTTTACAGCCATTGCGTCGGAGGGCGAGACTGAAATCCCTGGACAGCATTGGGCTAATCTCGTCGGTTTTCCGGGAATGAATTGGGGTAATGTAGTTGTAACCGTTACGGAGGCGCCAAGTGGTTGAGCGTAGAAGGGTCAGGGTGTATCTGGAGATGTGCTGACAGGTTGAGGGTCAGAGATCCAGGGGATATGTAGAGAACGGAAGGATAAATTGAACATGGTCATGGATTTCGCTTGTACTTTCATACTACACAAGAGTTGTCTGCGTAATCAGTTTAACAACATTATGCAGGAATAATATCAGCAACACTCCTCCAGAAGTCGCACCTCATACCACGCCCAGCCTCCCACGTATACGCATTCACCAGCGTAAAGCTATTCATCAGCCCCGGTTCAGTCAGATAAGTCAGGTTGACCGGTGAGCTGACCATCAAAGCTAACTCACCACCCGTCTGGTTAAGATCAAGTTGATATGGTTCAGCGATCGTGAAAGCTGGCCATTGAGTAGCATCGTTGGTGGCTACGGATCCGTTTGACGAGCCAGAAGAGCCAGCTGCAACGGAAGCAGAAATCGACGGGGTGCCCTCAGTGATGAAGTTGCCCCAAATGTTCATGAAGGCGCGTTGGAGGCCGGTGCTTACGTCTGGCCTGCCGCCTAATGGTCCGAAGTATACGCCCACATCAGCGCCGTGGGTGGCTGGGAGGGCACTGAACTGGTACTTGTATGATGTGCGATCACCATCGGTGTACGCTTCCGCCATCCAGTATGACGGGCATACGAAAGTCAGTTCGGCGTAGAGGTTGTTGGCACGCTGTTGCTGTCCGGTTGCTATTGAGCTTTGGTCGAGCGCGCTGGGTCCGGTCACGCCGTTCGTCGCGAACTTATCTGCGTTAGAAGTGGTCGCGGCGTCGCTGATGGGGTAGTAGCGAAGAACCTTTGCGATGTCGGAATCGGTGAACTCGGGCAGGTTGTTGCGGAGCCACGCTGTGAAGTCGTCTTCAGAGATTATTGTTTGTGGTACGAACGAAGGGCCCTCGTTCGCATTATTTCCGATCAGAGCATTCCGTCCGTTCACACGCTTCTCGAGAAGCTGGCTGCTTGGCTCATCTTGAACGTACACTCCGTCTGTAACCGGCAGGAAAGCCCAGGTGCCGAATGTTGCAGTGCTTTCCACTTCGCGGGAAGCGTTCTGCAACGTCTCCGTGTCTTGCGATAGCAAACAATCGAAGATGGTGGAAGTCGCATTACCATATGCGTTGATCATGCAGCCGGCGCGGTCGGCGAACGCATAGTAGTTCTGTGTCGGAATCCAGTCTTTGTAGCCGTACTGCTTGGGCAAGTATGGTGATGCCGCAATAGTACTGCGGAACATCGAGTCGCCTAGAGAGCCACCGTAGGCCATGTCGTGTAGCATGACCGAACCACCACCAGCACTCTCGCCAGATATAGTGACAGCTGATGGGTCGCCTCCGAACTGACTGACATACGTCTGGACCCATTGGAGAGCGAAGAATTGGTCCAACAGTCCTGCATTCACGACGCCCTTTCGGTACACTTCGTCCGAGGCGAGGAATCCAAAGGGCCCCAGTCGGTACTGGATTGATACAACAACGAATTTGTTCCCGGTCGTCGTGAGGAGATCGGTGAAGTCTTGTCGCCCATTACCAGCGCCATAGCCACCACCGTGGATCCACACGAGTACAGGAAGGTTCGTCGCGTTTGCCGGGCTTTGGACATTGAGGAAGAGACAGTCTTCTGAGAGTGGTGGTGAATCTGGGTCCGGAGGCGCACTCGGCATTCCATTGCTTTGACCGATCTGTGGACATTGCGATCCGTAGGTGTCCGCGGCTATTGGCAAAGTTCGGTTTACGGCTGGTGCCTGGGGTCGTTGCCAGCGTAAACTACCTGTTGGTGATGCAGCGAAGCGGATGCTTGAAGTCATATGTTAGCTGCAGTCATCTGAAATTACGAGAAAGTCATACCCTCTCCAGCTATTGATACCTGTGCTTGCATTACTGGAACCCTGATAGATCTCATAGCCTAGGTCCACCTCCAAATCATTACTCGTAGTACTTTGTCTGCTTCGCAAGACTTCTCGAAACGGCTGAGATTGAGGTAGCGCAGCAACCGTCCCCGAGAGTGTAAGAGCACTTGCGATGAGAGACGATAGTAACATGACGCTGGCTGAGGTTGGTAGCTACTCGACTGAGTATGTGGTCAATCGCGACGCACGAAGAGCTTTTGTATCGCAAGCGCATTCCGTAAGCGGAACCCGGATGTGTAGCCCTGATTGCCCGCACTCCTTTCGACCAAGCCATTTATCCTCGGGCATTAAACCGTGCGTCGTGCCGTAGTGGATTAGAGGTTGGTGATGAAGCCGTCCGTCGATCGATGGCACTAAACGGCTAAGCATTACTGCGAAAAGACGACTAGTCTTTCCAGTTCATCCGTGAAGGCCGATCACTAGCTAATTGTCACATAACGGCTGAACCAATGTGCCGAAGACCAGGATGCAAAGGCCGTTGCCCTCTAGCGTCTGGTACCTAGATCGGTGGTGTGCGTGGAGAAGATAGCGTCGATGACGAACGTCAACAATTCGAGAATGTACATTGAATTCGAAAGTCAGATGCTATGCGCTCGGTGTCGCTCTCGCTGTTCCCCTTGCAGCGATTTCGCGCATCGATTGATCCGGAAGATCCGCCGGAAGATCCGGGGTATGATGCTTGTCTGCTCGATCGTATCGGCATCGTATCGTTGTTGTTGTTTTTTAGCTTCGACCGCATTCGCTGTGCATAAGGGCATGCGGACGTGACGTCTGCCGTCCGCGCGTGCCGTGTGCGGAGTTAGAAGTCGTGCGCTGATTCAGCAATTGCATCATGATTTCTATAGGTTGAGGAAGTGCCGCTCGGGCCATCTTCACCGAAAGCTATCGGGAATAAGTCCAGGACATACACCAACTTCACGCGTCTTGTTGTCTCCGACGCGTTTTTCGACCATGCCGAAGGCCATGGGAGGAACAAAACATCTTCGTATTTGGATCCAGACGCGCTTCACCTTGAGCGCACCTCGCGCCTTTTCCATCGTCAATAACATGGGCCAGGCAGGCGTTCGCTGACCCCTCTTCGCGACTTTGGGTACCAAACCCACACGAACACCTTGATAACGTGAGGGCTCGCGATAGCAGGCCATCTGGCTCTCAATGCTGAGTATATGCTCGCTGCTATAGCTCCGAGTTGGCACCTTTGCCTTCGTTAGGTCTCTCCTTGTTGATGACACGTACCCAACAGCTTACTTCTTTCGCAACATTCTTCGCAACTCTGGCTGATATCTTTCTGTGTATTCAGAGCCATCTCGACTCTTTCAGGCGTTCCTACTTGGTGACAGGGGTGCATGCAACCGAGTGGAATGAGTAAGCGAGGCACTATCATTGGCAGCTGCGGGTGCTGCATCTCTCGACTCAGCCACCACGTCGGAGGATACGGCACCAATAGCTCCTTCCTTCAGTCTGACAATAGAGGCTGAGCACAATTCCGATATTATCATGGCCTCAGCCGTCTCCTCCTCCCTCACTTGCTTGACAAGGCCCGATTTGAACCTTAGGCTTTTCCCTCCCTGACCCTGCTACTTTTTGTCGCTACGGCAAGCTAAACAACATCATGATCTTCGGCGGCCTTGAGATTGTCGCAGGCGGATATCTCATTCACCGGCATTACCGAAAGAAGAACGGAAAGGAGCAGCTTGAGGAAGAGGCTCAACAGCGACGCCATCACACCTTTCCAGGCGCCAATCCCGCAAAGCAGAATGGCTGGAATACTCAGGCCCACCACCGCCCTCAACACCATCCACAAGCGCAACAGCAGCAACCCGTGGTACCACAGCAAAAGTACGCGTGCTATGCTCCAGTAGCGGCACAGCCCCGACCGCAGATATACCAGCCTCAATTCCAACCCCAGCCTCAAGTTCAGCACCAAGCCCAACCTCAATCGCGACCGCACGCACCTCCTCACACGCAGAGCTTCAACATCCCACGGCGGCCCGTACCGCAGCGAAAACCTCAAATCATCATCGAGCCCTCTCTCCAACGAACCGACTCCTTTGCGACGATATCGCGCATGCCTATCGCGAACGGCTCGCGGCCACACGACGTACCCGAGCAGGCTAGCCCTGCGATCGGTCTTTCACCTATACCACAACATGGCGTCTATGGGAACGCGGGATTCTCGGTGTCAACACCGGCATTTGGAGCTACGCCTACATCGCCAGGCTTGGTATACGAGATGGCTACGGGACGCGAGGGTGGTGTTGGTCAGACTGTGGACGATAATTGGGAGACCTACGGCGGCCATGCACATGCTGGAGCGCCGCACTATGCGCCGACTGTGTCTACTGAGCTGGGCGAGCGCGATCCGCCACCGCCTTACATGCCTTGATGCATGCGCGATAAGCTTCAAGCCCAATTTCTCTTCTTTTCTACTTTCAGGCAGCCCTTGGTTATTGTATACTTTAATGACTCATCGAATACAAGTAATTACTCGTAAAACTGAACTCGTCAGTCATATAGACTTCTGGTGGCTTAAATTGCTACCAACTTCCCAAGTTTCTGTCTGGTGTCAACGACCAGAGCCTTATGTGCAAAGCAGCGCCACTGCGCATACCGATCGCAGAGACACCCCGCTTCGTGGTGTTGGTGCATCCTTTGATTGGGTGAACTTCGCCTCGAATGCTTTGGGCTAGCCGCAGGTGGTCAGATATCGCCTTCGGTCTTCAGCCTTCGGCCTTCTTTCTTCTACCCCCCACTCACGCATCAGACGCCAATTTACTCAGCTTCCAACGACGCTCAGCGGATACTTGATAACGAACGGTACCGCTCCATCAACGCACGACATTGACGCGCTGGAGGCCTTGAGGGGCTGACTTCGGACGAGATGGAAGACTCGGCGGCAGATCTGTGTTCTCGCTGTGCCAGCATTCCGTGGGATTGCTTAGAAGAGGAGAGGAGTGCACGGTTCTGGCGTGACGAGCAGCTGACTTTGAATGCACGGTTCTGGCGTGACGAGCAGCCGACTTTGAGTGATCTTCAGACCTCGCCCTGTCGGCTTTGCCATCTCATCGCATACACTATCCTCGCACAACCCGTACAACACGCTCATCCCCGATCCTTAGTGACTATGTATTGGGTCCAAGGTTCTGAATGCGGAGATGATTGCCTGGGATCAGTGGAACTGTGGGCAAGACCAGGAGGTCACGTTGGAAAGCTGATTCTCTCGACCGAGGCGTCTGTCGGACAGGACGCGACGGCCCGCCTACCAGTAGTCTTAGAGCGCGTCAGCTTTGCTTTGATCAGGCGACGCCTCGAAGCATGTAAAGCGTCACACCAATCCTGCGAGCCGCAAAAATCGCCCCAGCTCCTGGATCTACGGGTCATCGATTGTGTTGACAACACCGTCGTCATGGCACCGATGGGCTGCTCGTTTGTCGCACTTTCTTACGTATGGGGCGAGCTTTCTGCAGATAGCTACGTCTTAGGATCACGTATCGTGTTTCCGCCGACGATAGAGGACGCCGTGAGAACCACCCGCGAACTTGGGTACGAGTATCTATGGGTCGACAGATATGTAAGACGACATGAATACACAATTGATCTGAACTGACAAATCAGTGCATCAATCAAGACGATCTATACGATAAAGAGATACAAGTTAGTCAGATGGGCCAGATCTATGCTAGTGCGCAATTAACCATTGTTGCTGCAGCGGGTGTGGACCCCTCATATGGCCTCGTTGGCATCAGCAGAGATCGCACAGTATTGTCAGCTCGAGAGCCAGTTGGATGCTCTCGGCTGCTTTGTCTGTTACCTAGTACGACTCTACAATATCTTTCACATTCCCCGTGGTTCTCAAGGGCTTGGACATTACAAGAAGGATATCTCTCTAAGAGACTTCTGTGCTTCACCGAGCGCGAAGCGGTGATCAAGTGCAAGACTTTCTCTTCGATTCCTGAATCTGCTCCGAACCCTTGGGAGAAGCATTATGCCCCTAGAAAAGACGCCGACGAGGAGCATGTCCGAACAGCATTCGGTTCGCGAGTTGCAAGTCTGCTTGATGCCGCTAACATCATGTGCACATACTCGAGACGGGTGCGAGGGCATGAGTCCGACATGCTAAACGCTATTGTCGGTATTTTGAACGTTTTGAAGAATGGTAGTTCACCGGTCTATCACATCTGGGGAGTTCCTTTCACTATTGTCCAAAGATCGAACGATGCTCACACCATCGATAGCATCGGGTCCATTTATCTGAATTGGTACCATCCCCGGAGCGCCCGTCGTCTTCCTGAGTTCCCGAGCTGGTCATCTCTAGGATGGATAGGAGAAATCTACCATTGCGGCGATCCAGAAGTTACACCCCACTTCATGATCAAGTATTGGTCGGGCGAAAGATATCAGGAACTCGACAACGGTACCTGCGACCTAGACTATACATACTGCCGAGATGTCGCTCATCGATCTCAATATCTGGAGATTACGACGGATGTCGTACGAGTCGAGCTTCACAGTTGGTGCCGTAACGACAGTCTTAGTTACTTCCTCCAACCTACCTTTATCAGACAAAAGGAAGTCAAGGATCAGGGGGAGGTTCGGCCGAACAGAGACGTGCAAAGTCCACTCCTTGAGCTGCATCTGGATGATGATACAGCTTTGGATACCACATTACCCATTGTATGCGCTACGATGACGCCTCCTGAGATCGGCTCTGAGTCTTGGAGTTCTTTTGCGCTTAAAATTCCTTTGTTACTCGTTCTCCAGCAGAAAGAAAAGTCCTACGAGCGAATCGGTATTTTCGAACTTCATATATATGCTTTCGACAAGAAAGGAGAGTATAAATACAGCGACTCTGACCTCTGGGAATTCGTCCCACCCGGAGAGCCAGGTGCCTGGGATCA